GATTTTGATGTAGTAAGACCCATTGTATAACTCAATGATTATTAATACTTGTTCTTTAGCCCACTTGTCATGTTTAGTATTGTAGTTGCAAGGGAACTTGGGTACTTCGGGGTCCTGTTTGCTCACTTCGGTAGACCTGCAAAGCCCCAAGGTGGGTCCTTGGAATAAACACTCCGATGCCTAAGTCAGCAATAATCAGAGCTACCAAATGTGAATCAAGAGCTAAGTTTGACTTCGGTTTTTCAATTACCTTTGGAGAGGACCCTCGGGGGGTATTTATAGCCTTCAAGGGGGGCATCCACGTGTTGTTCTTCACGAGAAACCAGGGCTATATGTGTCGATGATCTCGTAAGGTTTCCTTATAGTATTCCTGCACGTACGGAGTTACTGTAGAGTAGGATCAAAGGGGATGAGCTCGAGCTTAGACGAGCTCATCATTCCTTGTTGCCAAGGTGGCTAGATTGGAGGTGGTCCGGGTGCCGCAGGTATTTGACCTCGGGCTATGTGAGATCGGACTGTGACTTCGGACTACTACCATTACACTATTCCCCCCCTGAAGTCATTCACTTGTGAATGATGAAGAGGGTTGAGTTGGGTATGTAGTGTGGCCGTGGCCGAAGTAAAGGTCATGACACGTGGTCATGTAGTGCAGCCGTGGTCGAAGTAAAGATCATGACACGTGGTCATGTAGTGCGGCCGTGGCCGAAGTAAAGATCATGACACGTGGTCATGTAGTGCGGCCGTGGCCGAAGTAAAGATCATGACATGTGGTCATGTAGTGCGGCCGTGGCCGAAGTAAAGATCATGACATGTGGTCATGTAGTGCGGCCGTGGCCGAAGTAAAGATCATGACACGTGGTCATGTAGTGCGGCCGTGGCCGAAGTAAAGATCATGACACGTGGTCATGTAGTGCGGCCGTGGCTGAAGTAAAGATCAAGGGTGGGCGAGCTGATGGAAGAAGTAGAAAATATCGTTTGGTCGGATTTGGACCGGTTTTTGAAATGGAACCGAAAAGGGTAACCGTGATTTATTAAAAAATTAGTTCGGGGGGGACAGCTGTCCTCAAGTGACGCGCCGTAATAAATGGCGTAGTCAGGAATAACTGCCAAATTCAAAAGGTCGCGTTTGATACCGTCGGATGTGGACGATCGTGACCGTTGATAGGTAAGGAAGCTTCAGTATAAACAGCCAGGGTTGAGCTATTCAGAATTTACCTTGCTGATTTTATAGCGAAGCGCTGCCGAAGTGAAACGAGATCATCTCGCCATTCGAGTTCGCGGTATTTCAGAAACTTTCCAAGTGTTTTACTTCGATCGTTGAAAGATCAGGTAATTCTTGAAGCTCGACTTCTGATTTCGGAATTTAATATAACCGATTTTGGATCTACAAGTCCAGTAGAGAACGTTAGGGGTAGGTGTGGGATCAAAGTAGGAAGTTAACTGTTCTCATCCAACTTGTAGTGAGTCCCGAAAGATGTCGTCAGAAGAGACACTAAGTGTTGGAGGTAGCGAGGGGGAGCAAGGATTGAGCTTGACCAGTGAGAATGAGGTGGAGAGCTCAAGGAGCGAGAGGAGTAGGGGGGTTGGAGGTGAGATGGTAGAGGTGGGGATTCCTTCTAACATATTAGAGGTAGATCCGGATAGGGCCAAGTTCTATAATGAGGAGGACGAGGTGGTGGAAGAGGTGGCGGGGTACGAGAGTATGTGGAGGAGTAGGAGTGACCTCGCCCACCTAGTAGAACAGTATGCCATTCCGAGGCACGTTCTACTTAGGCCGGCTAAGGAGAGGGAAAGGGCGTGCTCGGCTTCAAGGGATCATTGGATGCCGGTGTACGGGCACTACTTAACAGCCAGGCTTAGGTTTCCAGTGCCCGAGCTGCTAGTGGCGCTGCTGCTGGAGTACGGGCTGGGGTTGACGCAGCTCGTCCCTAACGCGGTTCGGCTTATCCTAGGATTTTTAGTATATTGCCAAACTCGAGGTGTAATCCCCACGGTAAATATTTTTAAGTATTTTTTTTTTATAAAGGGGGGAAGTAAGAAGGAGCGGGGGTGGTTTTATTTCACACCCCGGGTGGCTAGAGGAGGAGAAAGGAACCTGTTCAGTGCAGGTCCTTCATCTATAAAGGGGTAGAAAGATAAGTTTTTCTTCGTGGATGACACGAAGTGGGAGAAATCGGAGGTGGAGGTAACGGAGCTCAGCAGGTGGAAGAGGAAGAGGTCGAATCCGAATCAGTATTCGTTGAGCTCGGGAGAGCAGGATGAGGTGGAAAGGTTGGAGAAGAGAGGTGGGGACGTAATGGACATCATGCATTTCAGCAGTCCAGCAATGTTAGAGGCGGTAGAAATCTATGGGCCGAGCTCTATGACTGGAGGTCGGTTAGCTATTTTCAGGCGCGTTTAAAATAGATAGTTAATTGACCTCTGTTTTTTATTTTGCAGAAGAGATGAATTGGCTGATGTCCAAGAGGAAGACGGTAGCACTGCCGGAGAAGAGGTCGAAGACTCTGGCCGCACCCTCAGTGGGGGAGAGGGTGCTTGGTGGGACTTCAAGGTCTCGCCCAGAGGGGAGCGCCCGAGCTGAGGTGGGCCCTGGCTCAGATCAGGGGAGGAAGAGGGCTGAGGAGGCTACAGCCCAGAAGAGGAAGAGGGTGGAGGAGGTGCAGCATCCCCAAACCGACGCGCTGATCGAGTTCGTACCTCGACCTCCGCCGGTGCAGATTGACCCTGCTCTACGTGAAGTGGGGATGGTGGGGCATGGGAAGGGGAAGGAGTCCCCTATTCCTAGGCAGAAATCAAGCTTTTACGAAAGTACAAGCAAGACGGCTGCCAAGCGCTTCATCAGGTCCACTTTTCCTGAGGTGGATCTCAACAGAGCCCGGCATGAGGTCGAGGAGCATGGGGGCTCAGGAGTAGTGCGCCATGCGCTCGAGGTGGGAACTCGAACTGCAGGATTTTATTTCTGATTCATCTACTTTGTGTTTTAACATTGGGTTCTTGTACAGACGGTGAATCTCATCAATGCCTTGGCGGCTGAGTACTACGACTGCCTCAAGGAGAGGAATAACCTCGTCGACAAATATGATGAGCACAACCTGCAGAAGCAGTCGGCTGAGCAGAACTTCAATGACCTGACTTCGGAGCTCGAGAAAGTCAGGGAGGAGTTGGTTTCTGCTAAGGCAGCCACCGATGCTGAGGTGAAGAAGAGGAGAAGAGCCGAGGAAGAGCTGGCTAAGGCGCAAGGGGAATTGGCTGAGGTGCAGAAGAGAACCGAGCTGGAGGTGCATAACTCGGTTGAGAAGCATGTCTCTGAGTTCGTCAATTCGGAGACGTTTTCAGAGATTGTGGACCTCTTCCGCATGCCTACACTGGTGATGGCATTCAATGACTGCAGGAAAAAGGTGAAGGCCCAGAATCCTGAGGTCGATGTGACGAAAGTCACTTTCGGACCAGAGGAGGCTGGAGTGGAAGAGGATAGGGAGAGCAGAACAGTTGAGTTACGGCCGGACATAACTCTTAGCTGGGAGCGGGACGAGGCTGGAAGAACTGTGCTCCCCCCACGTCTCGAGTACGAGTTCGTCGCCGTGGACGAAGAGACCGAGGCTCCTGCAACTACCGAGGTCGGAGAGAATGCGGCTGAACAAGAGGTGGATCAGCAGCGTGTGGTGATCGACTGACTTCGGCCTATTCCCCTCTTTTCTCTTTTTTTTTTTTTGTAATGATAATGTACTGTTTTTAGTACAATTAATGAAAAGAAAACGTGTTATATTTTAATGTTTGTATGGGTGCGTGAGCTCATAGTTCCTGTTAACAAACATTAAAACGTAATACGTTAAGGCTATGATTGTGGTTGAAATGAAGGCCGGACTTCGACTTCAAAAAATAAAAAGAATGTAATGAACCTCGAGTTCGGAGGTAAAATGAATGTAATGAACTTCGAGTTCGGAGGTAAAATGAATGTAATGAACTTCGAGTTCGGAGGTAAAATGAATGTAATGAACTTCGAGTTCGGAGGTAAAATGAACGTAATTTATTGCAAGGTAAAAAGAAGTGCGCCTGGACTTCGAAAAATGCAACGTTTAGGCTGAACAAGAATGAGCTTTATTAAGAGTAGAATTTCTTTAAATTGTTTACATTCCATACTCTAGGAATCCTTTTACCCTCGGCGTCTTGAAGTACATAAGCGCCGGGGGTGGGGTACTTCAGCCACTACATACGGGCCTTCCCAGTTCGGTGCTAGCTTGCCGAAGCGGGTCTCGAAGCCGGTGAGTCCTGCCTTTCTGAGGACGAGGTCACCAATCTTGAAGCTTCGAGGTTGAACTCGTTTGTTATAAAAGTTGGCGATCTTCTGCTTATATGCTATTGTCCAGAGTCGAGCGTGCTCACGGACTTCGTCCAAGAGGTCAAGGTCTTCCCGAAGTAGCAAGTCATTTCGGGTTGAGTCGAAATGGCTAACTCGTAAGCTCGGGACGCCGAGTTCGACGGGAATGATTGCCTCTGTCCCAAAAGCCAGATGATAGGGCGTTTCGCCTGTAGCCGTCCTAGTGGTAGTTCGGTATGCCCACAATACGTTGTTGAGCTCGTCTGCCTATTTGGCTTTGAGCTGGTCCAACCTCGGCTTAATTCCTTCTAGAATAGCTTTGTTCACTGATTCAACCATTCCATTAGTCTCAGGGTGATAAACCGAAGTGAACAGTAATTTAATTCCATAGCTGGAGCAGAAATCCCTGAAGGAGGTGCAATTGAACTGAGGCCCATTGTCGGTGACAATTTGATTCGGTATGCCGTATCGGCAGATGATTGCACTGAAGACAAAATCTTCAATCCTTCTTGAGGTCAGACCGGATAGGGGTCGTGCTTCGACCCATTTTGTGAAGTAGTCGACCACCATAACCAGATGTGTTACTCCCCCCACACCTTTGACAAAAGGACCCAGCAGATCCAGCCCCCATTGGGCAAAAGGCCATGGTGCCACTAAGTTTCTCAGTTCTTCTGCTGGCTGGTGGGTCAGGTGTGCAAAGAATTGACACTTTTGGCACTTTTGCACAAACTGCGCAGCATCCTCCTGCATGTTGGGCTAGTAGTATCCTTGACGAAGCACCTTATGAGCCAAAGTCCGAGCTCCGACATGGCTTCCACATACACCCTCGTGCACTTCGTGGAGAGCATACTCGGCCTCATAGGAGGTTAAACAGTAGAGAAGGGGAAGTGAGTAGGACCTTTTATACAGGATGCCATCAAGCAAGGTGTATCTTGACGCTTTTCTCCGTAGCTTTAGCTCCTCTTGCTTTAGCTCCTCTTGCTTTAGCTCCTCTTGCTTATCGGTTGGGACAGTTCCATCCTGTAGGTAGGCTTTGATGGGGTCAGTCCAGCTTGCAGTTTCGGGGTCAGTACTGACCTCCAGTACTTCTATCTTCTGGAAGCTTGGTGCATTTAGGACTTCAACGTAAATAGATCTCCCCCCTCGGGAGGTGTCGGAGGCCAGTTGTGATAGAGAATCTGCATGTTCATTTTCTGACCTCGGAACTTTTGTGAGCCTGAATTGCTCAAATTGGCACTTCAGCTTAGAGACGAGGGCTAGGTATTTGGCTACAACTGGGTCTGCTACTTCGCAAAGGGAATTTACTTGATTGACCACCAGCTGGGAGTCGCTGTAGACTTGGAGAGATGTGACTTTCAGTTCGACCGCAAGACGAAGTTCGAGCAGAAGGGCCTCATACTCGGCCATGTTGTTGGTTGCTTCGAAGTTGAACTTCAGAGCATGCTCACTTCGGAAGTGTTCTGGTCCAATTAGTACCGCGCGAGCTCCTGCCCCTTTGCTGTTAGACGCACCATCCACATAAAGAGTCCACTGTTCGACTTCGGTGTCAACGTTTTTCTGGTCGAAGGTACACTCAACTACAAAATCTGCTAGAGCCTGACCTCGGACTGATGACCTTTGTTGAAAGGTGATCTGGAACTCTCCCAACTCCACTACCCACTTGATGAGTCTGCCTGAACATTCTGGTTTCTGCAAAATCTGTCTCAGGGGTAGGTCAATCAGAACAACAATGGGATGGGCTTGGAAGTACGGCCTTAACTTCCTGGCTGTAGCGACGACCGCAAGAGTTGCTTTTTCTGCCGTGGAGTACCTCAATTCGACTCCCTGTAGCACTTTGCTTGTGTAATAGACTGGCCTCTGCAACTGTGCTGTTTCCCTGATCAAAACCGAGCTGAGTGCTGTATCTGAGATTCCGAGGTAGAGGTAAAGTGTATCCCCCTCTTCGGCTTTGGTTAATAGGGGGGGTGAGCTAAGGTATGCCTTGAGCTCTTCAAAAGAGGTTTGACACTCTGGAGTCCATTCAAACTTTCTGGGTTTCTCGGTTTCGCCTTTCTGAGTTGTAGATCTGAGGATTTTGAAGAAAAGAAAACATCTATCAGTCGATTTGGAAATGAACCTGTGCAGGGCTGCCACTCGCCCAGTTAGGCGCTGTACATCTTTGATTGACTTCGGCGGTTTCATCTCTTCTATCGCCTTTATTTTTTCGGGATTGACCTCTATTCCCCTTCTAGAGACTAGGAACCCCAAGAATTTTTCAGATTCAACTCCGAAGACGCACTTGGCTGGATTCAACTTCATACTGTGCCTTTTTAAATTATTAAATGTCTCCCCCAGGTCGGTCAAGTGATCTTCTGCTCTGCGGCTCTTGACCACTATGTCATCAACGTAGACTTCCAAGTTCCTGCCGATCTGAGCTCGGAATACAATAGTCACCATTTTTTGGTATGTGGCTCCTGCATTTTTTAGCCCAAATGGCATCATGACATAACAATAAATCTCGTCTCCGGCATAGAAGGAGGTCTTGACTTCGTCCTCGGATGCCATGTGGACCTGGTGATATCTTGAGTAAGCATCCAAAAGGCTAAGTCTTTCATTTCTAGATGCGGCCTCTACCAGCTTGTCTATGTTTGGCAAGGGGTGGTAGTCTTTTGGGCAGGCGTCATTTAGATTAGTGTAATCTATGCACATATGCCATTTGCCGTTTGACTTCTTGACAAGGACAGGGTTGGCGACCCATTCACAATAGTCTACCCGCCTAATAAAGCCCGCTTGTAAGAGCTTCTGCACTTCTTCCTTGATTGCTTGTAGCCTCTCTCCCTCGAACAGACGCCTTTTTTGTGTTACAGGCTTTTTCAAAGGGTTAGTGCCGAGCTTGTGGACTGCAACCGAAGCTGGTATCCCAGGCATGTCGGCCGAGGTCTAGGCAAAGACGTCCCTGTTCGACTTCAGGAAATCAATGAGTTCTTCCCTCTCTTCCGGCTTGAGTTTAGTGCCAATCTGTGTTTTTCTGGTGGGGTCATTGGGGTCAAGCTGTATTTCTTCCACCTCTTCTACTGGGGTTGCTCTGGCGTCGTCATCAAGTCTATAGTCTGGCAGCTCTATACCCATTACCTGCTGGGCGGATGGTATCTCTGCCTGAATTGGAGCTGGCGTTACTAGCTTATCCCTCCGAGGTAAAGTGACCGAGGTCATATAGTAGTGCCGAGCTATTTCTTGATTACCTCTCAGAGTTGCTACTCCCATAAGGGTGGGGAATTTCATGCATAGGTGGGACTGCGAAACAACAGCTCGGATTTCTGTCAAGGTTAGCCTTCCGATGACGATGTTGAAAGAGGATGCCATCTTTACGACCAAAAACCGAACTGACGGAGTAACATATGTCCGACCTGAACCGAAGGCTACCTTGAGCGTGAGTACGCCTTCCACAAGGATTGGTTGATTGTTGAAGCCGTAGATAGGACCGTCATATTTCTGTAGGAGAGCTGGGTCAAGACCTAGGCTCTCGAAACAATGATAGTACATTATGTTCGAAGCGCTTCCTGTGTCAACAAGGACGCGGTGGACTTCACAGCTATTAACAATGATCGAGGTGACGAGTGGATCATTGTGTGGGGTGATAACACCATCAAAATCAACTGCCCTGAAAGTTATGGGTTGGTTCCTCCAATCTGTCTCATCGAATTTTCTCTTCTGAACCCGGTTCTGATGTTTGACTTCCCGAACATACAACTTCTGCTGTTTTGAGCTCATTATGCCAGCTTCTAACCCTCCTGTGATCATATGAATGATACGTGAGGGTGGGGGGAGTGGAGGTGGTGCTTGTTGGTAGCCAACGCCGACCCTGTTGCTTGCCTCTCGAGGTGCCCCTGGTCGTCCTTGTTCCCGGACGAATTTAGGCTGATCCCCCTTAGAGACGTACTCATTGAGCATGCCTTTCCGAGCTAAGCCCTCCAGTTCTGACTTCAGGCTTTGACATTCCTCCGTGGTATGGCCGTGGTCCTGGTGGAAGTCGCAGTACTTACTATGGTCTCGGGTGGCAGGGGGACTCTGCATGGGTAGGGGCCTTCTGAGCTCCATTTTGTTTTTGATTTGCATTAAAATCTGCGACCTCGGCAGTATAAATGGAGTCCAGGTGATTTGCTTAGACATGGGTTGAGTTACAGTTGGGGGTCTATCTACCCTGGGCAGGAATGGGCCTCGATTCTGTGCAGGTTTAAATCTCTTCTTGTTCTGCCCTTCATCTCTCTAGGCCGGAGGTCTGACCTCTTTACTCGGAGTTGCTTTGCCGGACAAAGCATATTCCTCCGCTTGAATGAATTTCCATGATCTTTCGTTGGCCTCATCAAAGGTGGTAGGTGCATGCTTGATCAGGCTATCCCGGAATCTGTCACGCTTGAGGCCTGCAATCAATGCAGCCAACCCCACACCATGATTGAAAGAGCTAATCTCGAGCACTACATTGTTGAATCTATTCATATAATTTTTAAGGGATTCGCCTTCCCTCTGGGCCACTCGCATGAGCTCGAAGGTCGTCTTCTTAATTAACCGACGACTGGAGAACTTGGTTGCAAAGAACGCTGCCAGCTCGGCATAGGAACTGACCGAGCTCGGCTGCAAGCTATAATACCAGGTCCGAGCGTTTCCTCGCAATGTAGAAGGGAATATCTTGCACATCAAGGCATCTGAGGCATTCTGAGCCTGCATAATGGAGCAAAAGGCATGCAAGTGGTCATCGGGGTTTTTAGTGCCATCGTATGTTTCAAGCTGTGGCATTTGGAACCCTGACGGGTACGGCTCTTGGAGAATGTTGGGATTGAGGGGGGTGGGGATTGGGGCTGAACTCGAGAGGGTCGGAGTTTGTGGAGTTCGGTTCTCGGGTAGCATTTTTTCGGAGTTCCCTTTGGGAAGGTCTGAGATGGCCGACTGAGGTGGGGGCTGAGGTAGAGGTGCCATGTGTGAGTGGGCTGGAGAGTCGTTGCGAGGTAGAGTTGCAGTTCGGGCTGGTGAGGTCATATTGTGTTGAGGCTATTGGGTAGGTATTTGGTTGGTGGGATTGAGTAGGGCAATGAGGGGGTCGCCTGGGTTATCCCTGGCTAACAGTTGCACGAGCACAAGTTGAAACACGCCGAACTGCTGCTGCATGACATTGAGTTGGGTGGCTATGGGGTTTAGGTTTTCTGCTGAATTTGGATTGTTCTCCCCAGTTCCCTCTATATGCTGAGGTTGGGTTGTAGGGGGTGGGGCGGTATGAGATGCGAGGTTCCCGCTGGGAAGTTGACCTCTGCCGCGCCCTTGTTGAGGGCTTCCGTGTTGTGCTGAGCGTGTGTTCACCATTGCGACAGCCGCTAACTAAGGCTTTTAGCTCGGTTTCCCACAGACGGCGCCAATGTAGTTGCAAGGGAACTTGGGTACTTCAGGGTCCTGTTTGCTCACTTCGGTAGACCTGCAAAGCCCCGAGGTGGGTCCTCGGGGTAGACACTCCGATGCCTAAGTCAGCAATAATCAGAGCTACCAAATGTGAATCAAGAGCTAAGTTTGACTTCGGTTTTTCAATTACCTTTGGAGAGGACCCTCGGGGGGTATTTATAGCCTTCAAAGGGGGCATCCACGTGTTGTTCTTCACGAGAAACCAGGACTATATGTGTCGATGATCTCGTAAGGTTTCCTTACAGTATTCCTGCACGTACGGAGTTACTGTAGAGTAGGATCAAAGGGGATGAGCTCGAGCTTAGACGAGCTCATCATTCCTTGTTGCCAAGGTGGCTAGATTGGAGGTGGTCCGGGTGCCGCAAGTATTTGACCTCAGGCTATGTGAGATCAGACTGTGACTTCGGACTACTACCACTTCGGACTACTACCATTATAAGTATATTTACTTATAACAAGAGAATATATTCAACATGCTTAAAACTCAACTTTCCAAGTTCGCATTGGCCGACAACTTTTAGTCAAAGTTTGGGCACTTTGATCTCATGAAAATAGTATTAAAGAGTTCTGTGAAAAAAATTCAACACCTGCACTTGCAGCAGTAGCCGCACTGGGAAGTCTACCCATAATTCCATGGTTCCAACCATGGTTCAAGGTGAAGGGATGATCCTGCCTTTGTAATATTTTTTCTCCATTTTATCGTATAAGAATGTCCTAACTATTAAAAACTCAAATTTCTAAACTAGAGATTTTAAAATGGAATTTTAAAATGAATAAAAAATAATTAAAAAAATAAATTATCTCTTATTATATAACTCATTGTTTTACAATTAAAAAATTATATTTTTCTATTTTTCCAAATTCTATGTTCAAAAAAGGAAAAAAATTCAACTTAGTAGAAGTGCCGATATATTCAAACAAAACTCACACTTGAAACTCTCTTGCAAAAAATGCTGCCAAACCTACACACTTCCTTTTTTTCTTGTTTTTTACTGCATCCCAAATTAATAAGAGCAATGATAGGGATGGCAAAAATTTAAGATAAAAATTTAAATTAATGATATGACATAAATTATATTATTAAATTAATTAATGTATATAAAATTATAATTAAAAAAAATAAAAAAAATTAAATATTAAATAATATTGTTTCCTCGAACATCCTCTAGTGGCCTTGCACTTGCGAAATTTGAATGTAGATGTGCCACTTACTTTGTCGAAAGTAAAAAAGAAGGATTTTCTCAACGACTCTCTCCTTTCTCATGGTGAACCTCTTTGTGGAAGGTGGGAAGAACGTTGGTTTAAAATTAAAATCTGCTCCTACAGACGATTTGCAAGAGGGAGGGATGCCTTCTTGCAAAATGGGTTACTAAATCTACCTTGGACAACTTCAAGGATTTAGACACTACCGTGAAACAAAGTTAACAGATTTTAAATAAGCTAAATAGCTTGCAAATTAAAGTAAATTTGTGAGAAAGAGATGCACCCAAACTAAATTAAACATGTTCTTTGTCAAGTTAAATTGCTATCTATAGACAGATCTAAAAATTAAACTATTGTAGAATTAAAGATTTAACCCTAATTAACATTAAAACAAATACGAACTGGGACTAAATTAACATGGTCGAAATTGGGAAAAAGCGTGAATGCCATATAAGTAATTATATGATGAAATGCTACTTATCATAAACATTAAATTAACACTAGTAAGAAAATGAGAAATTGAAAATCTGTAAGGCTTAAGGTATATTCCATTTATTTTTCGAGAGTGTAACTCTCCATTCAGTGATTCAAGTCAATATGCTCCCCTTTTAAGCACATCATGGATATGAAATGGTACTTCCCAATTGGGAGATCATTTTCCAAATTCAGGTACTTTTTTCCAGGTGGCAAAATTGCTTTCCAGGCTAGATCTTTGTTGACTCGATGCACTCCAAGAAGGGGGTGAATTGGAGTTCAAAAATTTTCACTTCTTTGCAACTACCAAACAAAAATTAAAGAGAGTAAAGAAGAAGAGCATGCACAATGATTTTATAGAGGTTTGATCCAACCACTTGGTGTAATACCCCATATATTTTAGTAAATAAATTAGAACTTAAAGTTTTTTATTTTAAAGTTTTAGGGATTAAATTGATTGGATTTAGAGTTTAAGGGTTCTAAGTAGAATTTAGTAAAAGTTGAAAGGTGTTTAACTTAATTATTCCAAATTTTTGCCAAGTGGCGCTATGTCAACCAAGCAAAACAATTTTGTTGGACTTAAAATGGAAGCCTCTCGAACTCACCATTCCTCTGCATTTTTTCTTCTTCCAATTGGTCCCCAGCATCGTTTTTTCTTCTTCCAATTGGTCCCCAGCATCGTTTTTTCTTTTTCCAACTAGGTGTTGTGTTAAAACTATGTAGGGACGTACTCTCCAATTGAAATTCCTTGCAATTTCTACTATTTAGTGCTTTGATTTCCATATGTAAGTATGACTTTTAGTTACAAATTTGGGTTAGAGTTTTGGGTAGGTTATAGATCTACCTTAATATACTAAAATTAGTTTAAGTTAGTTAAAATTTGACTCTAGATTCTTTCTTTAAGGAACTTTTGGGGGACTAAATTTTGTTTAGAAATATATGGGTTTTGGGTGTATGTATCGATGTTGGGACATAATTTAGGAATGTATTTTAAATTTCATAATTGGTTTTAGTATGAAGATCTATTATCTATAATTTCTATTGTTGTTGTAGACTCCATACGCTTACTTTGTGTGATGATTTTCTAATGAATTAATATGGCAAAATAATTCCAAATGTTTAATTGAAATTTGGAGTGCTATTCATGACTTTGGATGGGAAATAATGTTTCTTAATTATTATGATAATGCATTAACTACATTATTAAAATAAGAAATCAATTCCTAATTTTGGAAATGAAAGTTGTGAATTAGTATTAGAAATTTATTGTTAAATACTGTAGAAACGCATAAATGAAATTCCTAAATAAATGGAAATGTTCTTATATTATTTTGAATGTGCTTTGAATTTGTTTGATATGTGTATGTGTTTGTGGTTAGGGAGTAAGTGGACCTAAACTTAAAGTTTGGGGTATTCAATGGACCCTTTGGGGTATTTAGTGGATCTTTACGCAGTAGGATGAGTCCTATGATTAGCTTCAGTACAAGTGTTGCTAGCATACATTAGTGGACTCCATAGCATTGTGTGATTTTTGTTTTACGCATTATGCTTGTGATATCACATCTACGAGCATGGTTTTATGATATGGATTTGATTCAAATGGCATTGATATTCCTTGACGTGTTTGATTGTCTATGAACAACTTCATGACATTAAATTATTATTTAAATACTAAGATTTATAATATTATATGACTTGGTTTAATTATCTATTATGCTTTTCATGTGTGTAGGTTTAAGGGTCTTAAAACCCAAGTTTATGACTTAAAACTTAATATTTACTGGGCTTTTAGCTCATGATATTTTACCTCATTTCAAATCTGTAGATTGGAGTAGCAATCACAAGCTTGAGAGATTCAGTGTAGGTCTTGTGTGCTCCTTATACGTTGAAGCTATGACCTTTGGACTTTTGATATGACGACAAATTAATGTGTTACCAAAATGATAATTCTACTTTTATTATTTTAAAAAGCATTTGCTCTCATGTATTTTTCTTGTGTAAATTACTTTTATGTATATAATATTTAAATCAATCAAAATGGACTTAGCCTAGTTTATTTTACGACTTTGAGTATTTTGATATTTTCCTTAAGATATTTTCCATTAAATTAGTTTTCCTTTACATGTAATTGATTTTCTTTCTTTAAAGTTTTAAATTGATTTGAAAGCAAGTTTTTCTTAAGGAAACATTTTATATTAGAAGAGTTTTTACTTCCATTGTTTTTTATTTATCTTGTGCAGTACATTTTCTTACTTAATAAACCAGAATGTTTATAAAAAAGGGGATGTTACACTTGGAGCCTAGTCCTCTACTTTGGCTTCACTCACCAAGGATTTCCTCCCATTTTCCACTAAGAAAAACAAGGGTGGCTTAAAGGAGTCACTCAATCTTTTTACAAGAAGAATGATATTTCTCTCAAATCTCACCCATTTACAAAATAAACCCTAAGAATTGTCTTTACAAATCACTCTTTAAAGAATAATCACACCCCCAAGACAAGTGGAACAAGAAGAGGATTACAAGCAAAAATACTCAAAGATCAAAAACTCAAATTAAAGCACAAGTTGGTAGGTGGAGATATTCAAAAACTTATCCTAAATGTACTACCAACCATATTTATAGCCCCTTAGTCGAAAATAGTCGTTTCTATCCATTGGGGATCATTAAATGCTCTGCAAATTGAGTAAGTTCAAGTTGCAGACTTATTAGTAAAGTCAATTTTAACTCTAGAACTAGTTTTGAAGAGCCGGCTTTGTGGCCTTGCTGCACATTTTGTTGTTCTCAAAAGCCGATTGTAAAAACATACAGCTAGCTTTGAAATTTTGACTTTAAAAAGATTAAAGAATCTTTAAATAACTTGACCGTTGTGCATTAAATGCGCCATCATAGCCGGTTGCAAAGTTAAAGCCAGCTTTGTGTCCATTTTCTACGCATGCCAAACTGCAGGTTTAAAACTTTCACCTATAAAGCCTGCTGCAAGTTCTAAAGCTGGTTTTCTACAGTTTTGTTCACCAAAGTCGACTGCAAATTTTTAGAGCGAGCTATCTGCACAATTTATAGGCTTTTTGGTCCAGTTTAGTGTAGTCCAAGTTCACTTAATTTTGTAATCTTTGAAAGTTCAACTATACATTGAAATTAACAAATTATTCATTCAAATGTGTTTTATAATCATCAAAATCATAGGTACAACAATCTCCAACCAACGTTCTTCCATAAGGAGGCCAACCGTGAGGAAGGAGAGGGTTGTTAGGAAAATCATTCTTTCTTACTTTTAGTTAGTGGCACGCCTGTATCCAGATTCTACATGTGTGAGGCCACTAAATGATTGTTTAGGAGACAATCCTTTTTTGCCCATCAGAATGCTTCCTACATTCGTTTTGTTTTAGCTTGAAAGGCTCTCCAATTTTCTGCATTTTGCTCTTGCCAAACTCTTGCACTTTTTCACCCCATGTCTGCTACACTTTGGGCTAAATTTTGAGCCAAATTCTGAAAAGACTTATCCAATTGTCTAATGATATCTTGACTTTTTTGTTGAGCTGTTTCCTTAGATTCCAATTACATTCGCCTCATCATATTAATCTGTTCTGACATAGCTTTCATAAGGGAGTCACCAAATTGAGCTCTGACAAAGCTTTCACACGGGAGTCACCAAATTGAGCAACATCATCTCTTGATTCGCTATCCTTATTAAAGGTTGGATTGACAAAAGAGTGCTCCCTAAGTACTGGTGATAATGGTGGTGGAATGATTGGCTCATTCTCTCCTTTTGAATGTGCTAGACTACCTTTACCAAGCCCAATCTATAAGGTTTGAGTAGCCTTCCCAATGTTTCTTTTTGGTGGCATAGCTTTTTGGTGGCATAGCTATGCCTTTTCTTAGATAAATGAACAATGGATCTGAAAATTGTAAGTAAGACACGGTGGCATTCCACTGGGTGTGCTAAAAAAGGACTGTTTTCTCAAAAATCCTCTAGTGACCTCGCACGTGTGGAATTTGAATATGAGCGTGCCACTTATTTAGTTAAAAGTAAGAAAGAAGGATTTTTCCCAATGACCTTCTCCTTCCTCACGATCAATTTCCTTGTGAATGGTGGGAAGAATGTTGGTTTAAAATTAAAATCTACGCCTACAAACAATTTGTAACAAGGAGGGATGCCTTCTTGCAGAATAGGTTACTAAATCTATCTTAAACAACTCCAAGGACTTAAACACTATTGTGAAACAAAGTTAATAGATCCTAAATAAGCTAAATAGCATGCAAATTAAATTAAATTTACCAAAAAGAAATGTACCAAAACTAAATTAAACATGTTCATTATTAAATTAATTTTTTATTTACAGACAGATCTGAAAATTAAACTACTATAAAATTGAAGATTTAACCATAATTAACACTAAACCAAATGCGAATAGGGACTAACTTAACATGGTCAAAATTGAGAAGAAACGTGAATGCCACATAAGTAATTATTTGATGAAATGCTACTTCTCATAAATATTAACTTAACACAAATTAGAAAAGGAATAATACCTTGCAGAAATTCAAATATTTATATTCATTACATGAAACAAAATTGTTAAAACAAGTACTCAAAATAATTTAACTCCTAGAATGATGAAAAACAATCTAAATCTACTATGAATTGTGCTGAAATTTGAAATTTGTAAGCAAAAGTGAGTAATTGCCGAGAAATTGAAAATCTGAAAATTTGTAAGTTGTTTATAAGGGTTGGCTGTGTGTTGAATGATTGAAAAATTCTCTTTTGTTCTCCTTTTCCCCAGTTGCAAACATCCCACTTTCTGCAATTACACTAATTGTGGATAGTTTCTTGAAGAAGTGGGATACTCAGCAGTTGATAGGGTCAGTTTTCCTTCCAAATTTTGCCATTTATCCCATTATCTGATAGCCCACACCCATAACTGAAACTCCCTTTTATATTTTAGCTAAAATAGACCCAATTTAACTTAAAAAGATAATTAAAAGATAAAATCTTATCCTTTTAACTCCTTTCTTCCAATGTAGCAATTGATCTGTCATGGGGTTCAGAATTGCATATCTGACATGGCAAAATTTTCTCCATTCATTTAAAATTTTTTTAACATGTGGTATGATCTTAAATTTTTGCAATTTATGGTGTAAACAAATACAAAGTCTACTTTTTAATATTTATGCCACGTCATTGGTTCATGGTTCAAAATTTTAGTTCTAAATTTTGGTTCCAAATTTTGATTCTTTTATCATTATTCAATTAATAAATATATTTAGATTTACAATTTGTCTAAAAATTTTATCAAAAAATTTATCCTAAAATAATAATATTTTTTAATATTTTAAGAGATAAAAATCTTAGTTTAACCTTATCATTATCTCTTAAGTATTTTTAACCATTCATTCTATCATTCAAAGTCTCTTTATTTTTAGAGAAAAGTGATTTACCATATCATTCTCTTAAAATTTTTTTGAAAGATATATTTAAAAATTTATTTTTCAATTAATATTTTAAAAAATTAATGGTTAGATTGAAAGTTCTTTTCAAATATATTATGCAAATCAATTTTTAGATTATTCTAATAAATTTAACTACTTCATTGATTATGTAAAATTTAATACCATTAAATATATATATCAATAAATAAAATTTCTTTGATAAAAGAGTTATAAATATTAAATTAATATAAAAATTAATATATACAATATGTATAAACAAAACTTTTAATTCAATGATCTATTTTTTAAAATATTAATCATGAGGTAAGCATTTAGATATGTTCTTTAAAAAAATTTTTAAGAAATGACCTCTTCCATACTATCATCTTATTTTTATTTTTTTCAAAAATAATATTAATAAAAATATAAATTGTCCTCAAATTATTAATTTTAAAATAAAATAAAAACACATCTACAATTTTTATTTTATTCAACTACAATTTTCGTTGAATAAAAGTATCAAAGTTACAACACAAATCTAAATATGATTACGCATTAAAGGACACTACAACGATTATAAACGGGAATGATTGATGAAAGAGACTAAAAAACAAAGAGCGTCGGTTTGAGATACAAAACATCCTTGGACACCTAGAACACCATTGTTGAGCGACAAACGCACACCAAGATTAAAACATTGAATTCACTTGTATAAATTACACAGTTCAGTGACGGCTCTTTTCCTATTCTTCCTTGCTTCAAAAGAGAGGTTTGAGTAGTTTATAAGTTTATCTTGTTCAACCTATAGTTCCATTCTTATGGTATATGATTGATTTGAAAGAGGTAACAGAAAAGGGGGATGCAATAGCACTCATAAGTTGTTGGATTTATCATAATACTTCAAGAGCACCCATAAATTTTTTAGAATTGTTGCGGTTTTTCAAAAACTCTCAATTAAACTCATCCACAAAAAATAATTTAAAAAAAAAAAAGAAAAAGAAAAAGAAAGATTAGTAGGTTCAACCATCCCAGTAGCGAAAATTCAAGAGTAGAATATCAAACCCAACCTTAGACGCTTCTGGCTTAATGGTACAAGCTATGCTCTTAGAGCATAACAGGCAACCTTCTCTGGGTTCAAAACCCACGAATTAATAACTACCGCGTGCAAATTGATGATGATCATCGTTGATGCTTCATCAGCTAAGAGAATCGAGCAAAAGATCTCTGTAATTATAATCACGAAATCTCATTGATTTCTGATATTCAAAACAAGAAAAAAAATGGAATTTAGAAAATAAAAGTATTGAAATGCACCGTGAAAAGTAAAGAGATGAAGATTCCTTATTCACTCCGTCCTGATACGACCTGCTTCACAAGTATAATGTAACTACTAGTCAATACAAAAGGAACCAAACTTACCATGATAACAAACTACGCACATGGGCAAAGTCTCCTGGTATGACGATGGGAACCATCACAAGAAAGCAAGGATTCTGTTTGAGTGTACAAGCAGGCTCCTGGATTCTGATAAACAAAAGGAGAGATTTTCAATGCCCAACTTTGTTGTTGAAAGTTTTACATTTGATAAAGGTTTCATCATTTATCAAATATTTTTAAACTAAGAAAAATATTTATCTCTGCAAGTTTAATTAGTATGATGATGAGAACAACAAATTTACTCTTCATATCACCAGATTGAAAACTGAAGAGAGATTGAATTAAGCCAACAATAAAACTTGTGGATTTTAGATAACCAACATATTCAAGCTGAGAAAAATTCAGTTATCTTGGTCCCATAAATAGTGTAAAAACTGCAGATTGATGAAAAATTTTAGAATAAAATAATAAAAGTTGACAAAGGTTAGGAGTAACTTCATTGCACTAGCTGCTAAGAGAGAGGTTATGTATCCAGTTGCCTTTCTGTGGCCAATTCCATTTACTTAACAAAAATAGGTGATGGTAATAGATAAAGAAAATTTAAATACTTTAGGGGCCAATTACTATAATTAAGTGGTTGGGGACAGTATGGAACTGCCTTCAAAAGGTTAGATATCATCCATATAATTCATCTTAGAAGATAATTTCACCTATCAAAAACCTTATTGAGTAAAACATATTCCCAAAAAGGAAAAAAGAAGTGCAGAAGAAGTATACCAAATGTTTAGGAGCATCATCAGCAACTTCTGCTGGTTGATCTGCTCCAATGCTTGGCATGCATGTTCCTTTGCAGCTCATATATTTTTGGATACTGTTCACAACTCAACCAAAAGTTATCTTGAACAAGCAGGACAAATAAATTTAAAATAAGTTAGTAAGACATATGCTCCTAAATAGCATCCACTGGTGCTTGAACCAATCCCATCCAAAAAATAATCAGCCATGAAGATAGATTTAACACATCATTCAGGTGTTGTCTCTGTAGTGCTTGATGCAATATGTCCAAAACATAAGTATGAAAACACAAGAAAAGTGGATATTGGCATATTGCAATAGGATGTAAACGGCTAAACAATTTCTGTTTTTTTATTTTTTTGTTTTTTATATTTTGGATTAGCAAAACAATTTCTGTTCTTGAAATCCTATAGAGGATCAAGCAAATAAAAATGAAATAAAGAGTTACAATATCCCCTTCAAACATAATCTAATCACATTTTTGAAGATGCTGAAGAGAGGTTTTTCTTGTTTGGTGGGAATGGTAGGGGGAAAAACCTACAAACTCATACTCCACGCACAAATATGGTGCATGTGCATGGAGACACATGCATGTCTTCATTTTGCATCCTATTGTCCACATGCACCAGCATGCATTCCACTATGTACCCTGTGAGTGTGTGCTTGTGAATATGATACGAGTGACTGTTTGATTGCATGTAGATTGATCAAAAGGAAAAGAAGAACAGAAATGTTTCAGATATAAGAAAATAGTAAAAAAATAAAAAAAAATAAAAAAAAATGAAAAAAACACCACCATCACCAACAACAACAACAACAACAGGGATGGGAAAGATTGTGCACAACTTACATATCACACTGATTGAGCACCAAAAGTTTATTTAGGACACACGATTGTCCATTTGATTTGCAAGCCACATCACATGACTCACCTTGCCTGTCTTTGACATGATTAAAGAATAAAAGAATAATTAGCTCTGGTGATCTTAGAGAAGTTCAAACCAGGGAAACAAAACAAACATGGGATTCACCTTCCTATGATAACATTAATTCCATGTAGTCTGGCTTCTACAAGCATACCACCAGTACCTGTAGCATTTTACACTGAATCAATATCATTTGACACTTAAACAGGAGAAAGAATCTTTATCTAAAACTCCATAACTACAAAAGTTGAAAAGAATAAAAACAAACTTGGAAACAGGGCTATCACACATAAAGGAATAGTCACCTTGGGAACTGGAAAAGGAATTAGACATGATCTATGAGCTTCAAGGAATATGGCATTCTGCATTTTTTTTTAGGCCATCAATCTGGATTTGGCTGACCTAACTATATTTTAAAATATGTTTCCACTTATATGGAGAAGGAAGTGCTACTAACTTATTTATTATTTATTTGAAGTTAAGTGCTTGGCATTGCAATGATTGTACCCCTGACCTTAACCTAGAATCAAGGATTTGAGATTGGTGGATACTAACTCGACTAAGCTCTTGTTGTTGAAAACCCTACGAAGAAAGGAAGATAAAGTATTGATCTAATTTGGATTAAGGATAAAGTAATCCACTAAAGGGGTAGGCTATAAGTATTAAAGATGAGGGCTAAAAAGCTTACTTTCTGTTGCTAATATTTTGGTTTTAGTTTGTACAATCATGGACTTTCTTGTTATTGAAATAACTTTTGCATCTTTCTAACTAACAGAAATGTGAAAGAAGAGTCAAAATCTAATAAAAAGATTTTCAAAAGGTCTCAGCGAAGTAGCTCAAGAGGTTGCTACAATGAATGGGGTTATGATATTGGTACAAAGGTTGAAAAGTGGATAACAATAGTGGGCAGTAGACAACAGGTAGTGGGCAGTGGATAGCAAGTAGTGGATGGCAAGTGGCAGATAGCAGGAGGGGTGAGTGGCGAGTGGCAAGCAGCAGATGACAAGTAACGGGTAGCAGATGTTGATTGTAATAATTATTTGGTTTTGCAATGATTACTGTTGGACATTAAATGATTAATAAGGACATATTTAAAAATGGTTGATTTGTTATTTTTATTTTTACATTTTCTAACACTAAAAGAATTATTTTTATTATTACTAATGGAAATATGAAATTATGAATTAAACACCACTTTGCTATATTTTCTAATAGAGAAAATAATTTAACTATAAAACAAATAAATTTCAATTCTTTATTTTGTACATCATATGATAGCTACACTAGAGGATAGCCCTCCCCTCTAGTTTAGACATCTGCTAGGGCCTATAGTTATGGGTTTGCAAATTATGGTTAAGAGAAAAAAATAAAAACATAATTTTAAATTAATGGGTAACTTTTTCAACAAATATTTTTTCTAGTCTCCTAGGGGTTTAGGCTCTAACCTCTAACACCCAACCTCTAAATAAAAATTTTTATCAAACTCCTAATGCATAGCCTGTCAGGAATAAAAGCTTTTAAACACATGTCATAGTTGCATCCAAACTGCTAATCACTAGCCCCAAGCCTCTATATCCAACAAGCCCATAATATGCTAAATCAGATCAATGGATCATTATTAAAGTTCTAATCTATTTAGAGTCCTCATCTATTATGGATTTGACTTAATCCTAGGTTCTTAGAATTTGATGCTTATAAATATTTCTTCGTACTTTGAAAGTCATTAGAGTTTAGTCAATTTAGTTGTATGAAACTATTTAGTTATTTAAAGAATTTTCATACCCTTGATCCCTTTCTTGCTTCTTTTCTTTCGTTCCCTCTTTTTTGTTTCTACAGTAACTCAAATTGCAGTTCATAGCCATACCAACCTTGTTTCCATCCACTTTTCTACCCAAACAAACCCCATAAAGCTTTGATGAGTAAAATTCCTCCAAGCAAATCCCAATTCACCACCAAGCCCTATATTCTTTCAGGAATAGCCATAACTCCCAAAATCCTAACCCATGAATCTCACTAAACCTAACCATATGAAAGCCCAAGCCCAAGACAAGCTTGTAGACAGATTCTTCAATTCTGTACTGCTTAAACCAAATAGCATGAGATTTGAACTTGTCAGCTGTATAATATTAATGAGCCCCTGCTCCCCACTCCCATTTCAGTCACAAAATGAAAACTGAAACCAAGAACTGCAGTATCTTTATAACACATGCATAGATATACCTCTAGGCAAACTAATTTTAGAAACATGGTAAAAGAAAGTCAAGTCTAATCGTACCAGAAGAATTTGATGGCAATGAAAAGCAATGGTGGAAATTACTAATATAAGCATTTTCATGAACCTGAAAAATCAAAAGACATTTTGCATCAGAGCTTGTATAACATATCCAATTATATTTTGAAACACATTCCACTCCATGAGAAACACCATCATGTATTAAAATGACATGTCAGGAAAGTTCTTGATCTTATCTTTCAGTTACCAATTTAAAGTATTTTCATCAGCAATAGCACATTAACATTCCATTCAAAGAAAGTACAAGTACAAGAATACCAAAAATACTTCTTTGATTGTAGAAATGAATCAAGAGATCAGAAATACACTCTGAAATTAAAAGAACAGCAATTACCACACTTTCAGAATTATGGCGACACCTTCCAGCACAAAAGTCAAAGACACTTGCATAAGTTCCTGGCAAAAAACCAAAAGAGGGAAAATTGGGAACACGGTAGCCTTACTATAGGTTCTTTAAAGTTATCATAACTTGATTAACAGAGAGGAAGCAAGAAAAAAGCACTAGGAGCAACAAAATTATGCTAATTCAAGTCAACAAAAGTAGGGGAAAACAACCAAGTTAGGATCCAATACTTGCCAATAGTTAATCAGAAACAGGAAACTATCTGATGGCATTTGTTTGTCACAGGATTCAATCTTTAAATCCAGCATTTTAATCTCTCTCTCAAATTAGATTTAGGTTGCTCCTTAAGGTGAAAATGTGCAAATCCTACAAATTAACACCTTATTAAGCAAGAAAAGCCAGAGAATTTTCTCCAAAAGAGCAAATGATGCATTTTGACATAAATTAATCTGTGAAAAACAGCAACAATATATGGCTTTATGAACATAATCACCATATAAATACTAATACAAACATTCCCTAAGTGTAAAAGATAAATGAAAATCTATTGTTTGTTCTCCAAAGACATAAGGTTTCCAAGCTTTCATTCTAGCAGATCTCTTGAATTTGAATACATTTCACCGATCCTGACCATGACCAAAATGCCAAATGATACAAACTTTAGGAAGAGAAACACCAAGATTTTATGAAAGAATTTTCCAGCCATGAAAACAACTAAATGTTTATATATCTTAGGGATAGGGGTCTGCCTCTCTTCTAAAGGAAATGCAGGTTTGTTTCTAGTGAAAGCACAATTACCTGCAGTTGCTGGCTTTGCTACTTTCACTTTTAGTACGTTTTCCTTTTGTATCTGCAGAACAAGTTCCAATAATAAGTTCCGTTTGCATGCTTCACAAATAAATATTAACCAGGAAAATAAAAGGAACAAACTAAGAACTGTAGAAGATACTTGAGCAGGATGTAGGCAGCAAGAAACACAAAATTCATAGGAGTTACAACACTGTGAAAGAAGGTTGCATCCTCTGCAAACAAGAATGAAAGTGTTATAAGCTTTCATAGAGCTAGAGCTTTGTTTCAGCACATCAGAGACAGACAGAGAAAACAAACTCACTGACAAGAGAACTGATGTCCTCTTTCAGGACAGCAGTGGGAGAGTGGATCCAATGATAGAGCATCACACACATAACCTATAACATAAAAGGTTAGTACTAACCTACTTGGACTTGAATGATATGAACAATAAACCCAAGCCTGTAAGCTGTTATTTCTAAATAGCAATAAAATATATTATAATTAAAAAACCAAACAACATTAAATAATTATAGCATTAGGACTCTCAAGTTTTGCTGATGTTGTTGCCTGCTTCAGCTTATGCTAAGTTTGGTAACTGGAAAGCAAAAAGGGATTAACCCTTTGTTTGCTATGAGGAAAATGGAAGGTCACTTGTTCAGTTAGACTAAAATACGAAAAAAGAATTAAAGTAAGGGAAAACCCCTCAACTCCACTCCAATTTTTTGTTAGCCAAATAGGGAAACTTCTTCCCTTCCCCTCCCCTCCCCTCCCCTCCCATCAAACCAAACAAGCTACAACCATAAAGGCCATAATGAATGAGGATAAAAAAAAATAAGATCAGAATAATTACCATTTTTATGTTTGATGGAATTTAATAAGTATTCCAAAGTTTTTTTCACAAATTATGACTAGGAATATGTCATTCAACAAAAGCTAAAATACCAAAATACCCATTGATCTTTTTGGTAATATAATAAAAATCTCTTTTTATATAACTAAAATGTTAAAATGAATTCATCATAAATGAACTTTAACACCATTCAAAATAAAAATTAGAAAGAAAAATTGAATAACTTCCTTCTTTCCTGCACATTTTCTTTTCTAATTTTCCTTTCTCTACCTCATATCAATGAAGCACTCATCTCAACCAGCACAGGATCTCATGCCTAAACAGCCATAAACGGCACTCATCTAAACCCGGTTCTCATCTCCTTTGGCAACCTAATTGGGTTCTAGAGCAACCTCCAGTACCTAAAGAAGGAGTGTGAGGATATACATCTGAAGGAATTGGACAAAAGAAAAAGTTCCACCCCTTAAGAAGCATTTCAGACCTACTGTTGATGTTTAGGTTCTGGTGTCTAAAGCTTACTTCAAAACTCAAGAACTATTTGGTGCTAAAATGTAAATTTTGTATCATTATCATGTTAAATGTGTTCAAAATAGGGTGCTGAATACTGGTTTCTCAAAAAATTTCAGAGGTGCTGTGAAGGACTATCAACCATAAAGGATAACAGACAGAAAACTTGGAAGGCTAAAAAGATATATAACTACACATAAATAGAGAACAAAAAGAAAAAAAAAAGAAGATTCTTAATTTATGCTTCAAATTTAAAAGAACAGTGAATTGAGGGAAGCTTCCAAGAACACTGTTTTGGATTTCCTAACTCTTATGATCAATTTCAAGTTTGAAAAGATGAGAATAGCAAGGGATTATAATGTTGTAGAGATCTTTTTTTTTTTTTTTAACTATATTCAAGTTCTTGAAATGGTTGGAATTAGCAATAATGTTTTGCCCAGAAAATGCTGCCAACTCACCAGTTTTTGGTTAACATTTATTTTACTAAAGGTAAGAAAGTTACTTTCTTCTTTATCAAGGGTTTTGGGCAGGAAAATGGCCACCCTTTGCAAAACTTGCGATGTAAAAGGCAAAAAAAGAAAAGTTACCAGGCAGCAGCACTTTCTGCAGAAAGTGGCTAACTTTCTGGTAACCAAAAGCCACTTGCAGGGTTAAATAAAAAATTAATGTTGGGACATGAAAAGGAAAAGAAAGATGTGCATTTAACGATTCTGTGCTCCTAGTAGCATGGATAGTTTTGTGGTAAACAGTAACAGAGAAAGAGAGAAAACTACTTAATTATAAGTAACCAACTAGAACTCTTAAGAGTATTAGACCTAATGTCCTAAAGAATCAGATTCAGAATTTAAAATTCCATTCCTAAAATGATCACCCTAGAATTACCTAAACTGAAATTACAGAAGCAATAATAATGAAAAAAAGTACCATCAGTGTTGTCAAGCGTGTCCACTCTAACCGCTTAAGCGGTAAAGCAGAGCAGTCTGCTCCTCTGGTGCTTCACCAATTACTGAAGCGCCAAACTTCAGTGAAGCGGGAGTGAAGCGCCCACTTCACTGCTTAAGCGCCCAAAGCACAAAGCAGTCAAAGCGTTGCTTTTTTTTTTTTTTTTGTTCAATTTGACAAAATTATCCAACTTAACCTTTAATTTTAAGGGTAAAATGGTACTTTAACATTTTTTTCCCTAAATAAAACCCTAATTTCTGACTTTCTGCACTATTTTAATTTTTAGAATAATATTATGCTGTTTCTGACTTTCTGCATCGTTTTAATTTCTTGACTGTTATGCATACACGTACTGCTAATTTTCTGTTCTGATAATTGATGTTATGAACTTCAAAATCTGCTTTATTAATATATCATGTTTTGAGTACATTTTGAAAAGGTTTAGGCTATTACATAATCATCTTTTGGTATTTTCTGCTTCACTTCAGTGAAGCGTCTGCTTCGCTTTCCACTTCACCGCTTAAGCCTTTTGAAGGGCTGGCGCTTTAAGGCACTTTATGCTTTTGACAACACTGAGTACCATATAAATTTCCAAAAAAGACCAATTTCACAACTGTAGATTGTAGAGAGAAAGAGGCCCATTAATCAACCCTCAAACCTAGATGACAAGTTTTCTTTCTCATTCAAGTTTTCCTGATCATTCTATATTATTTTCTGACTTTTAGTTCCACAATTAGACAACAATCTTCCATTTTTCACAACCTTGTAATGTAAGTTTCTAAATTTGCATACCAAGTGGAGGCTCTTACTTGAATAACAAGAAGGCATATTTGCAACTAATTACATTTCTTCCAATTTGTAAACCAATGGGGTATTGATTTCTTTGGGGTTCTCATCAGGTATGGGAATCAAAAAAGACAAAAAATTAAGGATCAATCTTTTATAAGTTACTCTCAAAATTTTTATGTTTTAACTAGGGAGAATATCAAAACAGCCTATAAATTATAATAACAAGGAGTAGGAAAGTCATGCACTCACCATTGTCATCAGATAATAAATATCTTCCCTGAACAGTATTTCTGCAAATGCGCCTATCTGGAAAGCCAATTTCTTTCCTATAAAACAAAAGTTGCAGCTTAATATTCCCCTTAAAAATAAGAAGAAAATTCATGAAACACAAAAAATTAAAATTTTCTTCAAAAAAATACTACGGAACTTTCTATTTAGAAAATATACTAAAAAAAAAGGACTTTCGCAATTTAAAAATTATGACAATCTGCCATAACTTATAAGCAAGCAAGGCTAATTTCGTTTAGCCTCGCTCTGTCGTTTGACTTCTAGGAATCTGCTATAGCTTTAGCTGTTGTTTGAAATACAGGCCAATAAAATCAGCGAAACCACCAAACACACCCTTAATTGATTGAATCACCTACATTCTCATCATTGGCTGATGCCCAATAGAAAATCAATGAGAAGAGAAGAAACCCATAATACCAAACCAAGAGCTTCCCTCAATCAATTTCAAGAAAACAAACACTACCTAAGAAAATAAATTAGATCAAATGCTCCAATAATTGTCGACAGAAATCAAGAAAAAGACTGAAAATGCAGTTTAAGAAGCGAAATGTTTGGCGAATAATCAAATCAAAGGAAAACCCTCCTACCTGGCTGAGGACACAGTCTGTGAGAATTGTAAGATGACGAAAAACAGGAACAAGCGGGATAATTTTTCCCGGGGTTTCGACATTCTCGAACTGATGAGTAGTGGACGGCGACCAAGAAGAATTCCTCCACTTCCGCTCCTAGAAATCGGGTCGGTTAAGTAATACCAGTCGGAGTCAGTGGCCCACAAGCCTTAAAATGGGCACCGTTTTCATTTCGACCCTGAGAGTGAAGTTGTTGAGAAGAAATTAAGAATACCAAATTTTGCTGTTTTTTCATTTAAGATATAAATTTTTTCAGTAATAAAGGTTTTCAATTTCTAATTTTTTTTCTAAATAATATGATTTTATGGGATTTTTATTTAAGAATTTATTGAATGTGAATGCTTACCAGGCAATATAAAAATTCATTATACTGATGTTGTGAGCATTGAAAAATATTTTATTGAATTTTAATGCTTGCTTCCTTGCAATAATTCCTGAAAATGTAATTTTTTTATTTATTTATACTAATTTTTGTTTTGCCCGTGCAACGTACCGTTTTTATTTTTTAAAATTTTTTTATTAAAGTTTAAATTTTTTATTATTTTTTTATCAACTCTTGAGTTTTATAACAATTTTTAATTAAAAATTTTAATTAAGTAATTAAAGTTGAGTTAAAAATTGTGCTTAGTAATTAATAGGAGTATTTTTTTAAAAAAATTATATATAATCACATTAAAAAAAGAATATTAAGAGAATTTGAAAAAACACTCAATATTAATTCTTATTTCACATATATGTTCTTTTTCTCTACTATTAATCTATTTAAAAATTTAGATAATATTCTCTTTTCTCTCAATTAAAAAACTATAATATAGTTAAGCAGTATTAAATATCATATGTTGTATGTGCATTGTATGGGATTATATTTATATAATAATTTTTGTTATTGTTGATATTGGTGTTATTATAATAATAATAATAATTATTATTATTATTATTAAATAGTAATTTAAAAAATATGTGTTAAGAAAAATAAAAATAAAGCATATATATGTAAGCTAAAATAAATAAACAAAAAAGAATCAAATTTTTTTACTGATTTCAACATTTATAAATATTAATGAATTAATATAGATATTTTTTAAATTATTCATATTTCTAATTTATTCATCAAAAGACTTATTTTGCATCATCATTATAACATTTTTTTTATACATCTACATTCAAAATAAATACATATATATACATATTCTATTATTTTTTTAAAAATATTTTTGATAAAAAAAATTCTATATGAAATAAAATCAAATAATTCATACAAAAATTTTCTTCTTTGTCAAGTTCTTTTATATATGACTTCCTCGTTCACATTTTTTTCCAACAAAAAAAAAGTGTATGAGGTGAAAAAAATTAAAAATAATAAAAATAAATAATGAATAAAAGTGGTATAATAGTGTTATAAATGATAATAAATAAAATTGTAATCATATGTTTTTATTACCCATAAAAATCAAACATCTATTTATCTTCCTTTGATTTAATTCATTCATTATATATGTAATAAAAGCTAATAATAGTAAAATAATTGAGAATATTAAAAAGAGAAGTGGAAGTGGAAGAGAAGAAGATAAGAAGATAAAAAGGTAAAATAAATATTATTAGTACATATATTTATTATATTTTAAATGTAAACATATTATATTTTCTTTTTAGCTTTTAACAAAATAGGTTTTTATAATTAAAATAAAAATGACAAATTTTAGT